CATTCCCTAGTGCCTCGTCTCTCAGTTTCTCCTAAATTACATCCCATTGTTTGTCTTGTCATTCATCATCTTTACTTCACTATTCTTTTCTTTTGTGCTCTGGGGGACGTTTTAAACTGATATTCCAATTAATTGATTCTATCTTCTGCAGTATCCAAACTACTCTTTACTACTCCAAGATATACTTTTTTCCTGGTTGACTTCTTTTTTGATACTTTATTGAAATATAAATCACATATCATCCAATTCACATAGTAAAGTGTACACTTCATTGGTTTCTGGTATATTCACAGATATGTGCAACCATCACCTCAGTCAATTTTAGAACATTTCTATCACCTCAAGAAGAAACCCTGTACTCTTCAGCTGTCACCTGTTACCCACCACCCTTCTCCCAGGCCTAAACAACCACTAATCAACTTTCTGTCTCTATAGATTTCCCTATTCTGGTCTTTCATACGAAGGGAATCTTATAATACGTCGTCTTTCGTGACTAACTTCTTTCACTGAGCATAACGTTTTCAAGGTTCATCCATGTTGTAGCATGTACCACTACTTCATTCCTTTCTATGCCTGAATAATATTCCATTGTAGGGATATATGACATTTTGTTTATCCATGCACAGGAGACAGACATATGGGCTGTTTCCACCTTTTGGATATTATAATGCTGCAATAAACATTTATGTACCACTTTTTGTGTAGACATGCATTTTCATTTCTCTTGGGAGATACCTCAAAGTGGAATTTCTGGATCATATGGTAACTCTAAGTTTAGCCTTTTGAGGAACTGCTAGACTGTTTCCGAAATGACTGCACCATCTTATATTCCCACTAGCAGCAAACGAGCGTTCTGATTTCTCTACATCCTTGCAAATGCTTGTTATCATCTGACTTGTTTATGCTATCCACGCCAGAGGGTGTGAAGTAGTATCTACTTGTGGCCTTTATTTCATTTCCCTGATGGCTAATGATGTTGAGCATCTTTTTGTGCACTTACTGACCCTTTATATATCATCCTTGGAGAAATGTCTTCAGAATCTTTGTCCATTTTTAATTGGGTTATTTTTCTTTTCATTATTGAGGTATGAATTCTTTATATATTCTACATGCAAGTCCCTTATCAGATATATAATTTGCGAATGTTTTCTACCACTCTGTGGGATTTCTTTTCACTTTCTTGATGGTGTCATTTAAAGCACAAACATTTATTATTTTGATTACGTCCAATTTACTTATTTTTTCTTTTATTGCTCATACTTTTGGTGTCATATCTAAGAACCCTTTGCCAAATCCAAGGTCATGAAGATTTGCCTATGTTTTCTTCTCAGAGTTTCATAGTTTTAGCTCATATATTCAGGTCATTGATTCATTTTGAGTTAAATTTTGTATATATCCTGAAGCAAGAGTCCACCTCTTTGGCATGCAGCTATCCTGGTGACCCAGCACTATTTGTTGAATGACCTTGATGTCTTTGTCAAAAATCAGTTGACATTAGACATAGCATATATTTCTGGACTCTCAGGTCTCTTCCATTGGTCTATATGTCTATCCTTGTGGCAGTACCACATTTCTGTTCTTCATTACTGTTGCTTTGTAGTAAGTTTTGACATTGAGAACTGAAGTCCTCCAGTCTGTTTTTGTTTTTCAAAACTGTTTTGGCCATTCTAGGTCCCTTGCAATTCCATATGATTTTAGAATCAACCTGTGTTGAGCTCTACAAAGAAGTCAGCTGGGATCCTGATAGGGATTGCACTAAATCTGTAGATCTATTCAGGGATTATTGCCATCTTAACCATATTAAGTCTTCCAATCCTTGAGCATGGAATTGTTTTCTGTTTATTTAGATCTTTAGTTTCTTTCAACGATGTTTGTACTTTTCAGAGTATAAATTTTGCATTTCTGTTGTTAAATTTATTCCTACATATCTTTTTCTTTTTGATGCTATTGTGAACGGAATTGTTCTCTTAATTTCGTTTTCAAATTGTTTGTTGCAAGTGTAAAGAAATACAATTGATTTCTTATATTGATCTGGTATCCTGCAACCTTTCTGACTCCATTTATTAATTCTAGTAGTTTTTTAGTAGGATTTTCTATATTCAAGATCACGTCATCCATGAATAGATATGGTTTTACTTTTTCCAATCTCGATGCCTTTTTTAATTTTTCTTGACTAATTGCCTTGGCTAAATTAAATTTTAATTTTGATCTTTCTGCATTGCTTGAATTATTCACGCTGTAAAGTTTTTGTCTTTAATCAATAGTTTGCAGTATAGTAAAAAGAAAAGCTATTTTTATTTGGAAAACAATTCTATGGAATATCTTAAAATTTATATCTTAAGCTATTGAAGAAATTCCAACAAATTCCAAATATTAGAAAGTGACAATAAATGAACACAAGTTTAATATGGAATCTAATGCAAACCAAATCATACCAAAAGATGATAAAGATGACACATACAGAAAAGGACTATAGATAAACCTCATTTATAAATATGACTATAGAAATCTAGATAAAATATGAGAAAATCAGTTTCAGTAGTTTATACTGGGAATGTTAGTATGTTTCAACAGTAGGAAAGCTATTAACATAGTATATTTTGATAAGCACTGAAAAGAGTTTGATCAAAAATGTAACAATCATATTTGATTTTTGAAATGCTACTGGTAAAATACAAAGAGACAGATAGTTGCTAAATATATACATTCACTTCTGTTTAAATCCATTTACATCAACCATGCTGCTTAAAACTCTTTACTGCACACAGAATAAAAATCTTAAAATCTTAACAAGGCTTGCATGATCTGATCACTTCTTACTGCACAACCTCATATGCCACTGACATCCTCTTCACTCCAGCCACACTGGCCCACATTTGGTTCCTGAAACATAAGATCTTCCCTACTTCAGGGCTGTTGCATATACAGCTGTCTTTCTGCAATGCTCCCTGACCAGTGCTTGACAAGATTGGCTTTTTTGTCCTTCAAGTCTCAACTAAAAAGACACCAAAATGTGAGCAGTAGTTCTCTCTCTCTACACGGCAGGGATTGATATAATTTATTTATATTTCCTTTTTGGGATTTTTAAAACTTTTTGTTACATATACATTAAGTTTTCAAAAGGAAAAAGACACAGTAATTGACATATAAAATTGTAAGATATTTAAAGTGTACACCACAATGTTATTTTAGCCTTTAGTAAATTTGAAATATTTGGTAAGATACAAAAGCTTAATCTAACTTTTCCCCAAAATTCTTAGACAGTTGTCCCAATGCCATTATTGCATAATGCAACCTTTACCTGTTATCATAATAATTCACTAAACCCCACATGTTCTTGGCTCTGTTTCTGAAGTTTCTGTCCAGTACTATTGACCTGTTCACTCCAGCACCAGTATCACACTGTTTGAGTCCTTTATCTTTGACAGAGAAACTCTCCCCTTCCTACACTATTTTTTTACATTTCCCCAGATTATTTTCATACTTATTTTTTTAATTGCAGTAACATTGGATTATAACATTATAAAGCTTTCAGATGTACATCATAATATATTTTGAATTCTGTGTGGATTATATCATGTTCACCACCCAAAAGCTAATTATCGTCCATCCCCTCACATGTGAGCCTACTCACCCTTTTGCCCTCCCCACTTTCCGCGATGGTAACCACCAATCCGTTCTCCATTGCTATGTGTTTGTTTGTCGTTGTTTTTATCTTCTACTTATGAGTGAGATCATTTTTAGATGAAATTTAGTTTAGCTTTTGTTTCCTAAAAGCCATGTTAAAACTTTGACTTTGAATATGTTAATAGTAGAATTTGCACTTTTGCAATATTTCTGCTTTCTATTTGGAAACTTGGTATGTCTATCCATTTATTAAATTTTTACTTTATGCCTCTCCAGAGAATTTGAAGATTCTGCCTGATTCTTGTTAACATATTAATGAATCCATTTGTTTGTTGATAATGTGGATGGGATTGTTTCACACTGGATTTTGACCTTATTATTCCTCATTATGGTTTATATATTATAATAATAGGCAATATTTGTTGAGTGTTCACTACATGCAAGCTCTTTGTGTTATGCAATTTGTTATTTAATTTTATCCACACCTGACCCATTTTTCAAATGAAGAAATGGAGTCTTAAAAGAGTTCAGGTAACTTGAGGTTTCACAACTAGTGAACTCAGGTAACTGAGGTTTCACAACTAGTATGTGGCAGCACTCAGACTTGAATTCCAGTGTTCTGACAGCAGAGTCTTAATCACTGCATTATGTGACTTATGAGAGCACCATTAGTTTTTAATCTATTCATTGTGTGACTGGCCACTTTACCAGAATGTCTTTTTATTTCTAATGGCATTTCAGTTGATTACCTTAGGTTTCCTAGATAGATCATCCTATCAGCAAATAACGATAATTTTTTCTTCTCCCTTCCAATATTTTTACTTATTCCTCCTTTGTCCAATTGTACATTTCCTATAATGCATACCCCTGTTTTAAATACCCATTTAAAATCTATGCAATATCAAAATATAGCAGACTAATCTCTAAGTACTTCAATAATATTGTAAGGTGATAGGATTTAAAATAAGACATAGTGGGGCCAGCCTGGTGGCCAGTGGCTAAGTTCGTGTGCTCTGCTTCAGTGGCCTGATGTTCTTGGCTTCCAATCCCAGGCATGGACCTACACACTGCTCATCAGGCCATGATGTGGCGGCATCTCACACACAAAATAGAGAAAGACTGGCACAGATGTTAGCTCAGCGACAATCTTCCTCGATCTTCCTCAAGCAAAAAGAGGAAGACTGGCAACAGGTGATAGCTCAGGGCTAATCTTCCTCACCAAAATAAATAAATTAATTAATTAATTAATTAAAATAAGACATACACATTATTTCTATAATTTTGAGTATGCCAGATTAGACATTGCTGGAATGTCTAAGTTGCATAAAGATTTTCCATGTTATGCTTTTCTATTATTACTTGATCACCTATATTTTTTAAAAATTATAAAATTTAATCTAAGGTATTTTTTAATGCTGAAAAATAGCTGATTTTGCTTATCTGAATGTCCTTACTCCATTGAGTACACTATAAATGTTTGTTGTTGCTAATATTGCAGAAAGTTGGGGAAATGCATGGAGGAAACCAGAGTGGAGTCTCAGAATTCCTGCTCCTGGGGATCTCAGAGAGTCCTAAAGAGGAGCAGATCTTGTTTTGGATGTTCCTGTCCATGTACCTGGTGACAGTGGTGGGAAATGTGCTCATCATCCTGGCCATTGGGTCTGACTCATGCCTGCACACTCCCATGTATTTATTCTTGGCCAATCTCTCCTTCACCGACCTCTTCTTTGTCACCAACACAATCCCCAAGACATTGGTGAACCTTCAGTCCCAGAACAAAGCCATCTCCTATGGAGGGTGTCTGACACAGCTCTACTTTTTAGTCTGCTTGGTGACTCTGGACAACTTCATCTTGGCCACGATGGCATATGACCACTATGTAGCCATCTGCCGCCCCCTCCACTATGTAACAGCCATGAGCCCTAGGCTCTGTATTTTGCTCCTCACCTTGTGTTGGGTGTTCTCTGTCCTCTATGGCCTCTTCCTCACCTTCCTCATGACCACGGTGATCTTCTGTGGGTCCCGGAAGATCCACTATATCTTCTGTGAGATGTATGTCCTGCTGAGGCTCGCATGTTCCAACACCCAAGTCATTCACACAGTGCAGATTACTACAGGCTGCTTCATCTTCTTCACCCCCTTAAGGATAATGATCATGTCCTATGTCTGGATTGTCAGAGCCATCCTCTGAATACCCTCAGCCTCTAGCAAGTACAAAGCCTTCTCCACCTGTGCCTCCCATTTGGCTGTGGTCTCCCTCTTCTATGGGACACTTAGTATGGTATATCTGAAGCCCCTCCAAACCCACTCCATTAAGGACTCAGTAGCCACAGTGATGTATGCTGTGGTGACCCCCATGATGAACCCTTTTATCTACAGCCTGAGGAACAAGGACATGCGCAGGGCACTGGGAAGACTTCTCCTAGGAAAAGTCTTCCAGAGGTTGACATAAACACAATTTTGGAAAGGGCATTGGGGTGGAGACTGAGAATTTCCTCTACCATATGCAAGGCATTATCCTGTGGGCCATACAGGAGTGATTAGCACACAGATCCAGCTTAGAATGAGTTTATTGATTTGTGGTAAAGAAAAGACAGGCAAGTGTAACTCAATGTCCCCCAAACCTCACCAGCTTTGGTTATAAATAAGGTCACATTAACAGTAATACTAGATGTTTGCAGAATCAAATCCTTCAACTGCCTGACCACAGTCCCAGCCTTATCCAGACATATCCAGTTAAAGGCTAGGGAGGTCACTCATGCTCTCTAACAGATATCCACTCATGTACCTGGGCTATGGCCTTCTCTAAGGAGCCTGCTGCCTGTAAGCCATTTATAGAAGACACTTTGTGCTACCCCCACTGCAGGTGTCCTGGCTGAGGCCACCCCGTACCTGATAGGCTGAAAGGTGGAGCTCCTTGCTTCTGTACTGACCCATAGTCCTTCTGGATACAGCCCCTGCTGTCCAGGCAGAAATGGCAAGAAGATTCTTCTCTTTTGCTCTGGGTTGATTTTCAGCCCTTGGGCTCCAAATCAATACTTCCTCTCTTGCCTTTTTCTGGCATTCCTTTTCTCTGAAAGAAGTCAGATCTCTTCCTTGGGAAGTCCATCCTGTCCTTTACTTCCATGGCTCCTCACCTCCATCTCTTCTTCATGGAAAAACTCCATCATTCCCTCTAATTAAACTTTCAAACATATCAACACACACTCACAAACGGCAGCAGTGGTGGAGGGAGTAGACGGGGGTGGGCAGGTAATTGTGAGACCCAAGCTCTACTAGGTTCAACATGCCTTGTGACAATGCAACGAATAGAAAGTGAATCGTAACTAATGAGAAGGTGAGTCACTGATTTGTGGCAATTTGAAAGAGGGAGCAATCCTTTACAGAGGAATCAGCAGAGCCGGTATTTAACCTAGACTTTGATGAGTAGAGTTGAATTGATTGATGTTCCTTCAGTCATTCATCAATTCTTTCCATTGATCATGGTTGAATGTCCTTTAGGGGCCTCAACCTGGATTCCAAACGTGAATAAGAAGCTCACAGTCTACTGAGAGAGGAAAAAATTACAGACAATGTAAATGGACCAAACTCATCAATTAAAAGGCAATGTTTGATAGGTTGATTAAAAAATTAAATACATGTATTTAAAAGAGATATACTAAAAGAATACATACTTCTTGAAAGCAACAGAAGAGAAACGGGTATATTTGGAAAACACTAATCAAAAGAAAGCTGAATGTAGGTATATTAACAGCAGATAATAGAGTCTTCAGAGCAAAGAGCATTGTTAGGGAAGGAGATTGTTACTACTTAGGGGAAATATGAGATATACCACAACACTCTAAATCAAGCGAAGTTTAAGCTCTTCAAGTTTCCTCCCCCTTTTCCTGCAGGAACCTGATCCAAGGCCCCTATCTAATTCTTAATTTATGGTTTGTATTATTTTTCTTATACAGGACCCTAAATTATATAACTTCAGGCCCCAAAAATCTTGATCTGCTTTGTCCCTTCTTAAGTCACTAAGATAAAGCAGCTTTAAGTATGTGTGTTCCTAAAAAAACTCTGAAAATATGTGAAGTAAATTTGGTATAACCACAGTGAAAATTTATAGGATCACCATCATGAAAGGAAATTTTGGCAGGGCTCTTGATTATTAGTGGGTCAGATGGACAGAAGAATGGTGAAAATGTGGAGACTGAACAGCATGGTTGATGCGCTTGATCTGGACTTAGGTGCAGTTTACATGCAATGATTAGAAAGAGAATGTTTTTCTTGGGCACACATAGAACAGTTGCAGGAATTACTCATGTACTGGACCACACACACACAGAAAGCCTCAACAAATTTCAAGGAATAGATAGGCCGAGCATAGTCTCAGATCACAACTCAATGGGTTTGGGTGTTAATGACAGAAAGGTAAATAGAGAGTTCCAAATTTCTGGACATTGCTAATTCAAGGTTAGAAAAGAAATTAAAGTGGAAACTTGAAACTATCTAGCACTGAGTAATAATAAAGACATTGCCTGTCAAACCTTGTAGGACATGGCAAACACGGTGCTTTGAGGGGAAATTACATTCCTGAGTGATTATATTAGGAAACAGGAGAGCTTCATGTTTTTGAGCAAAGTGTCTTCTTAGGATTTGGGAACAAACGAACAATGGAATGAGTGCAGGGAACGTAGAAGGAAGGAGATTAAGAACTTGGGAGTAGAAATCAATAAAAAGTTTAGTTCTTTAAGAAAATAACGAAGTGGACAAACTTCTGGGAAGATTAAATAAGGGAAAAAAGGAAAACACAAACACTACAATAGAAAAAATATGCATAAAACTACAGACAAAATTGAGATTAGATAGGTTAAAAGAGTATTATTGACATTTATGCCAACAATTTTGAGCATTTGGACAAAATGAATGAATCTCTGGAAAAATGCGACTTGCCAGAGTTGACTCAAAAATAAGTGGAAAAATACAAAGTCCTATAATTATTAGAAGAATTGAACCAGTGGTTAAAGATATCTCCATCAAGAAAATATCAGATCCCAATGGTTTTACAGGCGAGTTTCAGCAAGTTCTGGATCATCCAATTTTTTTTTCAAATTCTTCCAGATAATGGAAAAAATAATGAAACTTCCCAACTCATTCTGTGAGATCAGTATAGTATCACCTAATACCAAAGGCAGAAAAAAGTGCAAGAAAGAAAAATTGCAGGGGCTAATTTCACTTATGAGCACAGACACAGGAATTCTAAACAAAATACTAGTAAACTGAATACAACAGAGTATTTTCTAAATAATAATAAATGACTAGTTTGGATTTATCACAGGTATGTAAAGATAATTTGACACTTTTTAAATCCACAAATGTAATTTGTTATATTGACAGATTAAAAGAAAAAACATGTAGTCATCTTAATAGATGTAGAGAAAGTGTTAGATAAAATTCTAACCAAAAGAATATCTCTGACAAAGCAGTAAAATCATTTTATTAAATTCCAACTCTTGATGTCTACCTTCTTAAGATTCCGTGTGACGAAGCGGGAAGCTCACATGGAGCTCGCCTGCATCCTGAAGTTCATCGGTTTTCCTGAGAGGCGGTCTTTGTACGACTGAGTCTGAGATGAACTAGCCACTTCATGGAACGCCATTTTTACCCAAAAGAACAATTGACTGATAAACAATGGCTATTCAGACTTGAGTATTTGGCAGATATTGTCTCAAAAACGAATAAAGTGAGCCTATCCCTGTAAAGAAAACAACTGACAGTGTTCTCTGCCAGTAACAATATTTGAGCCCTCAAGCAAATATTAGAATTTTGGAAAATTTTCCATTTGGAAGATATACATAATTCAGATAACTCAGTGAGTCAATATTTTCCAAATAATCAATGCCTTATGTGACAAATCACCTATGGGTAAAAGATTCATTCAAAATGCAAGATAGACCAATAGATTTTTAATGTTATAGAAGATAAAAAGTTTCCGTTTTGATTTCTTTTCTAACCTTGAATTACCAATGTCCAGAAATTTGGAACTCTCTATTTGCCTTTCTGTCATTAACCCCCAAAAAATAGCCAAGTTTGAAAGCCTGGGAGGGAAAATCACCAGAAGCCAGAAGGGAAAGTGAACTCTCAGCAGTAACGAGTTGAATTGGTGCCCTCTGGGACTACTGAGAACTTCAGGGGATGAGATTTTAACTCCCATCAGCCAGGAGCTGAAGCAGAGGACTCGTGTCAGTGGGATCTAGAACCAGACTTCCTGTATATGAAAAATAAAAGGCTAAGAAATCTCTGCCTCATTCATGAATAGAGCCTGGAAAGTTTCCACCCTCTGACCCACAGTCATAGCTGGAAGTGAACCACCTGTCCTCGAACGTTTCCTATTTCATATCTCTTTATCCCTGTGTATCATGTCTTATTAGGGATCAACACCCATAAAAGAACGAGGGAAGAAGCTTGATTGGGCAGAGGAGGCAGTCAAATTGCAAGCAAGCCAAACAAAGCATTGGCCCACCCAGCAGGGAGATCTGGAGTGAATGTTGATCATCAGAGTTGTCCCTCATCAGCCCCAAATGGACAGTCTTTAAACCACCGCCTGGCTCGGTCACCAGGTGTGGACTACTCTGGGAAGGATGTGTCCTCAGGCAAGGAGGCTCTATGCGGTTGATGCAAGTCCTCAAGGAGCTGACAGCTGGAGGCTCGCTGCTGACTGCCGCACTCCTCACAGCTGGACACAAAGCCTGTCCTTGAAGGGGGATCTGGTCAGCTCATCTCCAATTTTTCATAGACATGTAGAGGCAATGTCATCAAGGGTCCCCAGTAGCTAGTTACAGAGCTCACGTTTTATTCCATGGGCAATGAATAGCCCATGAAAACTTTCAAGCATGGGAATGACATGCCCAGTTGTGTGTTAAGTGACAGTCTGAGTAATGGTTGTGAAACTGAAGGTAGAAGAATGAAAACAGAGACCAGTTAGGAGACTACCAAATTGTCCCCAGTGAGAGGAAGAACTTGCACAGGGCACTAACAGAAGTATACAGGAGTGGATGGATCAGAGAAGAATTTAGAAGGTTAAATTTTGAGGGAACCAAGCCAAGACTGTGTACTTTTGGAAGGTAAGTCAGGGTTCAAAAGCAGAAACTCTCAGCATCTACCCTCACCACTTACCAGCTGCATTCAGCTGATTAAAGGCATCCCTCTGCATTTGTTCACCAGTTTCCCCAGTATCTAGGGCACTGCCTTGTACATAGTAGATGCTCGATAAATATTTACCAAATGAATTGATGTGTGAGACGACAGAGACTCCAAGTCAACTGACAGAAGATGTGACCACCACTTCCTGGTCACTTTAATCTTCAGAAACCTTATCAAATTGGAGTCTATACATACACACAACCAGCCAAGGTGAAATTCAGAACAATGAGAGGGCTGACACAGTAGCATAACCTAGTTTGGGCTTAACAGCAGCTGAGAAATGAATGGACGTGAACCCTCTCATGCAGCAGATCCAGTGGAATAAAACAACCTGTAATTTTCAATGGAGCACAGGCCGTTTTCTTTCATTCCAAGGCCATTGGGCACACTCCCCAGGCTGCCATCCCTCCACCATCAGGCATGCTACCCACTTACCTCTGGACCAAAAGCCTCTTCTTGGCCTAAGCATCACACACACACACACAGATTTCAGACCTTAGCTCTCAGGAGAATGACTAGAAGTGCATATTCTGAGCACCCCAAGGCAAGTACCTAAGATGCCATTTGATTGGAAAATAAAAAGCATAACTCCATTTTAATTAATCCATAATATTACGTATGAAGTCCCCATGGACTTGTTTTTTAATTGGCTTTTTAATCGGTTTGCTTGCAAAAGCAAACAATGTAAATGTGCATAAAATTAAAAGTAAGGAGTCTGTATACATAAACGCTTATTTGCGTGAACTGTTGGGAAGGATACTCAAGAAACTTAGAAGTTCCCTCTGGATATGGGAACAGAGACATCAGAGTAGGAGAGAGACTTACTTTTCACTAATTACTCATTTGTGCAGCTAATATTTTTTCCATATAATATGTATTACTTCAAGAATACATACATTGTCCAAAGTAAAATAAAAAATAACTCTGCACCCTCCACCCCCCATATCCACTTTGACATACTAAGAGTAATCCACTGTTAATAGTTTTGATGTGTATCCTTTCAGATATTCATCCTTTTTCTCCATATATTTTTCTGCCCCAACAATGTGTCTGTGTCTACGTATGAGATTGTGGAATAAACTACTTAAAATTACCCAGACATAGCAATAAGGCTCTGTCTTACCTTTGTGGTTCAGAGTTCAGAGGAACAGAACAGTGACCCAGCGGGATAGTCAGCAATGCTGCTGGAGGCACTTTTGCCACGTTGCGAATGTGGCAGTGCCCACTGCAGCTAGCACCATGCCTCACCAGCAAGCCCACATGACTAGACCACTGACTGCCTCTGTACCCGGTACCAATCCCAGGCTGGCTTATGGACAGAGCATCTTCTGTATTCAATTTTCTTGTTGAGCAAGGATCCCCACAGTT